AGATTTCTTTTTCAGAATCATATCTGCTGTCTTAGTGTTTACAGTGGTTCTATAAAAAATCAGAGTCTGGAAGAAAAAGAAAGATATGCTACCAACACTTGTTTTACATATAGTAACCGTATTCTGCTTCAGTATATTAAGTGTTTTATCTCCAATATATTTTCCTTAGCAAAAAGCTCTTAGCCATTCTGTCAGAGGTGATATGCCTCAATCCCTCTGGAGCTGAGCTGTTATGTGTCAAAAAAATAAAATTTTGATGAGGCCAGGAAGAGTGTAAGAATTGTAGTGCAGTGGCTTTGGTTTTTACTGGGAATTGGACAACCTTTTTCCTGAGTTTTGTTCTCAGGATTATTTCTTCCTCCTCCTCTTCCTTACAATTCAGTGGTTGTAGAATTACCCTGTAGCCATTGCTTTAATACAAAATGCATGAGCAGAAGGCAGGCTGCAAACAGAAATGCATACAGATACCCTGCTTCATGAACGAGACCTGCAACCCTGATGTGTCTGTTGTAAGAGAAGCTGGGTAGTGTCCATAGATTTTATTACTGCACTTTGGAAGTGCAAGCAACTGCAGGAGCTGTGATATGATTTCCCCTTTGTTCCCTTTGGCTTCTCAGTTCCTTTAGGGTTGAACTCTGCACATTAGTTGCTATGGACAGATGAATGGATGCCTTTTCCGAAGGAGGGGGTAGAGCAAAAAGGAAAGTTTTAAGTTAAGCAGCAACTGAGTGGGAGACTGAATTGCATTTTGGACATTTTGGTGCAGTATTCACCTCTGCACCTAGAACATGACTAAAGACCTTTTTGGATCTGGCCCACCAATCTATAATTCTTTGAATGTTTTCAACTTTCATGGCATTTTGAATGTGTGTCTTACTTCCAGTAATTCATTTAGTGTTACATTCCCAGACAAAGCACATACTACTGATGAACACTAATAGCCTTTCACTTCAGATGGCATAAGAATATGTTCTCTTATCTTCATGGAAGTTTCAGCTCTTTAAGATTTTTCTAATGTGTTAGTGTGTGTTAGTCTTGAACTCCTCTAACTGCATCACTTATTAGATGGTGTTGCAGATATTTCTCTTGGCAAAATCCTTAACAACATCCTTTCCTTATAACTAATTAAAATTAATTCACGTAAGCCAGTTGAACTAATTTATCACATCTATTCAAGAATTTGGGCTATAATTTTACCCTAATATGATAATGATGGATTAAATTGCAATAATTCAGAGCAGCAGTAGTTTTAGTAATATGCCTTATTCATATGAACATTTCATTATTGAAACTAATCAGTGACTCTGGCTTATTTCTTGTCAAATTGCAAGCATCCAGGGGACATAAGGAGGCGTATTTTGCTCTGGCCACAACTATCGTTTCATGGAACTATCACTTCATGGAAGTGGAAAATAAGACGTTTCATTTCATGGAAATAAGGCTGTTTCCTGAAAAATAAACCTTCAGAAATTTAAGGAAGCATGAAAATTACATGCAAAGTAGATACAAAAGTATTTACCAGTGAGAACTGAGGTTATCAGTGTTTATCATGCCTCTTATGCCACACTCTCACTCTTTCTAACCATATACATGAAAAATAAAAAAACATTTTTATCCACTGGAAGGAAGACTGGCAGCTCTAGGTGCAGCATATCTGCTGATACAAATCTGTCTTCTGAGATTCAAGGTAATTGAAAAATCTGGTCACACACACAAAAAAGCCAAAAGTCAAAACCAATTTTTGATTTGGTCCTAATGCAGAAAATGAGGATTATATTAAGATGTTTAGAATTCTGTCTTACATCAATCTACATACTTGATTTTGTGAGTAAACTAGAAAGACTGTCACGACAGTAATCTGTATGGTACAACAGGCATATCTGTAAAGTATAACTCCTGTTTTTATATGGTTCTGAAATGTTTAAACCCCTCCCCACATATGTTCAAGAGCAACTCTTTTCCCCTCGTAGTCTTAAGTCTATAATGATAATATACTGTTCTTCCAGACAATCATCTTCTGTCTTCTTGTCTTCACAATTTATTTAAATCCAGCCTGAGTAAATGTAGTTTAAAAATAGGACTATACTCTGTTGAATTTCTCATCAAAAGAGTTTGGAATAAAAATAAATAAATAATGGGTAATTACCTGCAAAGGAAATTGAACATATTTGTTAACTGTGTAAATTATTTAACATAAAGTTATGTTTTTTTGCTACAGGTTAAATTTGGGTTTTCAAAATTTTAATGACTTTTTCTATCACTGCTGGTCAGTCTCATTTCCTATAAAACTTTTTTTTGGATTTTTTAAAATATATATTATTTTCTTTATTTTTCCCAAATGGGTTTCCAGTTTTTTTGTTAGTCAAATTTCAGTCATACACATGGTATTAAATTCAGCACAAGCTCTTTCCTCAGGATCATTCATGCACTCTTGCATGATTTTGTCTGTTAAAGATTTGTGAGCATTTGACTTACCAGTACTGTCTGATCTACTAACAATAAACATGCATGTGGTAATGCTGTATCACTGTACTGTTTGTCTGGTTTCATAGTAATCATGCAAGATGTTCCATGGCAGTCTTTTGAAATATGTATTTTCTTTTGCAGACTCAGTTAAATTTGCTTCTTGAGAAGCTTCACAGCACTGTAAGTATAAATGCAGATGCAGGTTCATTATTTTCTCTTCCCAGTCCTTCTCACATAAAATGTAATCAGTCATCTCAACAATGTGGCTTCAACTAGGTGTCTAGTAATAAAAATAACTTCGGAGTTCGCACATATGTGGTACTTCTGAATGTCTTGCTGTGCAGCTAACAGGTATCAATCAATGTCTATAACAAGAAAAATAACATCAATTTTTCTCTTTTTAGAAATACGCTATTTTACTTTTTTTCTTCACTATTTCTTAAGTAACTGTTACACGTTTTAAAACCTCTGAAATAGATTCTGCTAACCTGCTCTTTTAACAATAGGGGTCAAGCTTTATTCGCTGCATCAAACCCAATTTAAAGATGACAAGTCACCACTTTGAAGGAGGACAGATCCTTTCTCAGCTTCAGTGTTCAGGTAATGTATTCATCTGATATTCCTCCCCTTCCTCCCACCCCCATTATTATTTTGGATGTTGTAGTTTGACCTAAATTTGAAATAAGTGAAATGAAAATAGTATGTTTACTTACTTGAACTGTTGCTGTCTAGAAGGTAAGTTATTTAGGTCTTTGAAACACTAATTTTGATTTTCAGCAGCTGAGGGTCCCATTTTAGTCGAAACAGATGTAGTTAATGCAGCCTAAGAAGTGATTCCTATGAGCAGCCATAAGACTTCTCATTTGCCAGCAGAGTTGCCTTAATCTCTATCAACTGTTTCCTTATTGATTTTTGAGAGTGTAGATACTTGGTACACAATATTGGGCCATATATTGGTATTTAAATTTAGATCTACTGATCTGGAGCTGAATCCCACGTCTCAGTGCTTGGACCACAACGTTACTAGGTCAGCAACTCAGTTCAGAACCACAGAACTCCTTTGAGTTCCTCTGGCAACTGAAGTGTTAGAAATTCACATGTGCACTTAGAGACAGTCACTATTAGCTCAGGTATGTAAAATATTGAAGCAGATCATTTTTCTTCCATTTGCTTCAAAAACAGAAGTCAAGTAAGTTTTACTTTTTCAAAGTTACTTTATACCATTATTAAATGGATTTGGAACTAAACTTCCAACAGTGCTACTTCAGCGTAGCCTTTTTTGTTATTTTATGTACTACAGATTTCTGTGATGCTGCATTTTCCTTATACTTGAAGTGCTAGGTACTTTCAAATTTTATAGCTTTATTTTTCTCACTTCCTATATTTTTGTCTCTTAGTATTTTTGTCCTTTTGATCATTTTTGTTTATTTTTTTCACTTTTAAAAGTCAAGAGACATTTCCAGGTTGTGCAGCTGGTGCTTTGGCAAGCCACCATGTATTTATCATGTTACGTTGCAGTCACAAATGCTTAACAACTTTTCAGCAATTAAGATTCCATTAGCATTATTATCAGTAGGTTTCTTAGGTTAATTACATTTGACATGTCAAAGACAGAAAAGTAAGAAATTAACTTTTTTCTTTTCTACTATAACAATTGTAATACTTTATAGTAATCTTAAAAGTTTAGTTTTCTTGGTCTCCTACTTCAGCTCCTGTTTAAACGAAGTTCAACGTAGTAAAGAAAAAAAACGCAGGGTTTTAAAAACAGAGTAACAAACAACATAAAAAATGTAACAAATGTAAAAAATAAAAAATAAAAAAAAGGCAATAACAACAACAAAAAAGCCCTCTGCAAGCGGTAAGATGTAGAAATAGTATTTGGGGAATTAAAATTACATCTTGCCAACTGATAGCTAATACAGCCAAGTACACATGCTGAAAGTGGAGTTGTATTGGGCACTTTTTGATAGAGGTGACAGCATGAAGAAATGCTAGAGGCTTGGTCAACTCTTTGATGAATTGGGTTTTGAACAGTATTTGTGAGGCTTTGTCATGAAGTACTGGTTATCATAAAAATCATTGCTTTATTTACATTGTTTTATTTGCACTTTACAAGGACCAACTTCTGTGTGTATGTTCTTATGAATGCAGGAATGGTATCTGTTTTGGACTTAATGCAAGGTGGTTTCCCTTCACGAGCTTCATTTCATGAACTATATAATATGTACAAAAAATACTTGCCTGAAAAATTAGCTCGATTGGATCCTAGACTGTTCTGCAAGGTAAGTTAGAAATTAATTCTTCTGCCATACCATCAAGGGCAGAAAAGGTATTTGTGCATATTTTGGGGGAAGAGATTTTTGGAGGAGAAAGATAACAAATCCTGTTGTTTTTTTTTTTTTCCCCTCCTTCTCCCTTTGTTTCAGGCACTATTTAAAGCCTTAGGATTGAATGAAAATGATTACAAATTTGGGTTAACCAAGGTGTTTTTTAGACCTGGCAAGGTAATGTGTCTTTTTCTTCTTTTATTTAGAGCTTATGAATGTGAATCAAAGAAGGGACCTCTGAAGATTACTTGGTCAACACTTTTCGTAAAGCAGGACCAACTTAAATAATGTTGTTCAGAGCCTTTTGTAAATACTGATAAATTCCTATTTGGGTTTGTACATGAAGATTTAAAAAATTAAGCAAATTAAGTTTTAAGGCTTTTTTTTTTCATTAAATGCAGAATTTGAGTTATCTTAAAATTATGGAACTCCAGAGTGATTATGTAGAAAGTAGAAAACCAAATCATTCCTTAAAATACTGTCGATAAATTTTTATTTTTAATGATTAGGAAGTGTTTGGATTATTCAAAATCCTAAGCATTTCACATCAATTAAAAAAATAAAACAGCCGTTATCATTAGAGTTATAACTGAAGATATTCCAGACACATAGCTTCTTGTCCGAATTAATTTAATGGATGGAATGGTAATGTACAGTTCATTGTTTTATTTGCATTAAAAATACCTTATTCCACTTGCTCTTAAATAATGTCTAGCACTTTCTGTTCTCATTTTTAAAACTGATCTTGTATTTAGTTTGCAGAGTTTGATCAAATAATGAAGTCAGATCCGGATCATTTAGCAGAGCTAGTTAAACGAGTCAATCACTGGCTTATCTGCAGTCGCTGGAAAAAAGTTCAGTGGTGTTCTCTCTCAGTGATAAAATGTATGTATTTTATATTTTAATAGTTGCTAGCAATATAGCAAAGCAGTTAGCAACATAGGAGTTAGCAGTTATTGTGTTAGGTAAATATAGGAGGGCTTAAAGCAGAGGTTTGTAAAAGGGGTGATGGTTCAGCTGTATCTTCCAACCTCACATGTCCAGGCTGCTTAAATGATTTGTGAAGCCTGGCAAACACTTGCATGGAAATAGCAATTAAAATTCTTGGGGAGGCACCTTGACATTGGCAGGAAGGAGCAGCAGTTTCAACTTCAAGCTGACAGTATAGAGTGATTTAGTTGAGCTTTGGGGTACTGGCTGCATAGAAATTGTTAACTTCCAGGCAGTAGCAGCACATTCAGAAGCCCTGACATGACTCATGGGGCAAATGTCTCTGTTCCAGGAGTTACTGTGGATTAACAAGTAAGTGCAAGTCACTGTCGATGTGCTCTTTCTAAGTGCTCAGCCTGCTCTGCTCACTGTGCAGTGGCAGCAAGGCAGTGTGGAATAGCTTGATACTGCTGATGTGGGTCCTTAGAGATACCTGTTTGCCCGACTCAGGCTTGTGAATTCTGTTGTCTACTGCAGCTTAACAGACCTAGCTCTCGAGTACAGATTGTCTACATACAGGGTAGAGCTGTTGAGTGTGTGAGTAATACAGAAAATATAGGAGTTCTGTTGAATTATTTAAGCCATTGAGACTCAGTCAATCTTTTTGTGTTACAGTGAAAAACAAGATAAAATATCGAGCTGGTGCCTGCATTAAAATACAAAAGACTATTCGAATGTGGCTTTGCAAGAGAAAGCACAAGCCACGGTAAGAGATTATTCACTTGGTTGATTCTCTTGCTGTAGAAAATTTCTATTTTAAAACAGATTCTTCTGAATGTAATAGGTTTACTATGCTTAACCAAACGTATCCAAAGCCATAGAATGATATAGGGGCCAGAGGGGCTTTGCAAGGTGCTGACTTCTACTTGTGTTGCACAAGGACAAATCAACTGAATCTGACCCTTTCATAAGAGGTATTCAGCTTGTTCATAGACCCCTGCAGTGATAACCAAGTAGTGATAATAACAGAGTTAAATCTTTCCTTAGGTAATTCAGGACTTTCTGTCCTTTAGTCATTCTCGCTTTCATCTGCAGGCCTCCTTTTTTCCGCTTCTGAGCAGTAATTGTGTGTTCTCTCTTGCTTTTCCTCTTGAAGTTAAGTAATTGTTAGCGTTAACGTTATTGCATGGAATACTCATGGAATAAACTTCAGCTATTAAGCACTCCTATCATTATTCTTTAATAAAGACCCAGCACTCTTATCTGTTCTTCATTCCTGGGGTTCTTATAAAATGTTTTCTTTTATATCCTTTGATAGTTATGTTGCATTTTGCACCTCGTTGCTTCTGTTCATTTCCCTAAATGCTTATGCTCTTCTTCTATGCTCATCCTCAGTGATTTAATTCAGTTTCTACTTGTTGTTTTTCCTGAATATCTGTTCAGTGACTTTTCTTCCTCGAGTTCCTCTGTAGATTTATAACTTGACCTTCAATATTATTTCTTAAAGATGCTGCCTTCCTGGACTCTCTCTCTTTTCCCAGGCTTTTTTTTTTTTTTTTTTCCCTTTGGCGTTTAAGGACCCACTGTAAAATTAGAATTATACATCTATAAAATAATCTGAAGATACATTAAACTGTCTTTCATTAACAGCATTGATGGTTTGGTAAAGGTGCGTACACTGAAAAAGAGACTTGATAAGTTTAATGAAGTAGTAAATGCTCTGAAGGAGGGGAAGGCAGAGACAAGCAAGCAGGTCAAGGAGCTGGAATATTCCATTGATGCTTCAATGACCAAAATTAAGGTATGCTATTAACCAGAGAAATGGCTTCTTATTACTGAAATCTTTTAAAGCTTAATTTTGTTTTTTTTTTCCCCTTTTTTTAAAAGGAAGCACTTTGGACAAAGATTTTATATTGAAATGTCTTTCTATAGACATCTGTGTCATAGGTCTCATTTTTCACTGGACACGTCTAAATCCTATTTGGAATTATTTGTGAATGTAGCTGAAATGAATCCTGAAATTGGTTGCATACATTTCAATCTGTGTTTCAGTGTGTGGCGACACTATGAAACTGGTGGTGTTAATAATCCACTTGTTGCATTTATTCTCAGTGATGTGGGGCTGAAACTTAAACAATTTATTACTAATAGTAAAACAGCATGCTGGATTTTAAATCAGTTGAAATTTATAGTTCCCTTCTCTAATGAAATAAGGCAAAAAAAATTGGTTCCTTTCTCTAATAGAAATAAGACAAAAAAATATAGTTACCTTCTCTAATGGAAATAAGGCAAAGTGACTATTAGCCTCACCAAACATCCCATGTCACACTTGCTTATCGCCTTTTTGTTTTTTTCTTCTGTGTCTCTCAACGCAAAGACTAAAGGAAAATAGAGAAAGTGAAATTAAGCTTTAGCTGCCAGTTAGATTTGGAAATATATGTAACAAGGATTATTGCTTTATTAAGTATTTTCATCACGTTATTTGCTACTGACCTCATTTAAAAGTATGCTCTCTTATTATGGTAGTACCTATGGTAGAAATAATGGAGTAATATGGAAAATTTTTAAAAATAAGAGTGCTTGCGTAAATAACATGGAATTATTAACAGTGAAACTAAACTAGAATGCATATAGAAGCTCCTAGTTCTCAAGATGGTAAATTTTAATTTCTGTTGCCTAAAAATGGCTGGTTTCAGAACTGAGGGCAACCTTTAAAGGTAAGTCCTGTTCAGAGTCAGTGATAAAAATAGAAACTGCTTAATATGTTTTTAAATGAAAGAAGAAAGTTATGTACCTGCAGGATTTAAGAAAGGAAGTGAATCACAGAATCACGGAATGGTTGAGAAGGGACCTCTAGAGATCATCTAGTCCAACCCCCCTGCACAAGCAGAGACACCTGCTTGTGCATGTGGCACAGGCTGGCATCCAGGTGGGTTTGGAAGATCTGCAGGGGAGGAGAACTCCACAACCTCTGTGGGCAGCCTGTTCCATCCTCACAGCCAAGAAGTTCTTTCTCAAATTCTGGCAGAACTTCCTGTGCTTCAGTGACCATTGGCTCTTGTCTTATTGCTGGCTACCACTGAAAAGAGTCTGGCCCCATCTCCTTAAGTGAAGGACTTGCTTAAGGTGTTTTTCCTCCACTGCTCTCTCCTCTATGTAATTTTTTTGCAGTGCTCAGTGTTTTCATAGCCATTCATATAATTTTAAAAGATGAAGTACAAACTCAGAGGAATATCATCCCTTCTTATATTTTCATTCTGCAGACCACTATAATGACAAGAGAACAGATACAGAAAGAATATGATGCTCTAGTTAGAAGCTCTGAGCAGCTTCTGAGTGCACTGCAGAAAAAGAAACAGCAAGAGGAAGAAGCAGAGAGACTGCGACGCATTCAGGAGGAAATGGAAAAAGAAAGGAGGAGGCGTGAAGAGGAGGAGCAACGCCGAAGAAAGGAAGAGGAGGAAAGGCGTTTGTGAGTGTTGGATGAGTTGCTGCTTTTGAAATGAGAAGGAAATCAGAAAGGCATTTTAATCAACTTGTGTTTAATATTGTTGCACTTAGAGAGTGACCCCTTGGTGTAAAGAGAGTACTCTCGGTGTGAAGAAAGAAAAACAAACCCCAAAAAACCACCACCAACAAAACTTTTCTCCCTAAAGATTTACATTCTAAGTATGATCAGGAGGAGTAGGGGAGAGATAATATGAAGCAACTGGGAATACAGTCAGAATTGGAAAGTTTCTTGGCTTTATATATATTGTCTTTTCATCAGAACGGTACTGACTTCTAGATTACTGTTTAATTTTATGGAAGATGCTTTCACATTTCTTTTTTCACTTGCATCATAATAAGATAATTGTCAAAAGGTTTTTTCTTTTTATTCATCTCCCTTTCCCCTCTTCCTTTTGTAACAGGAAATCTGAGATTGAAGCAAAGAGAAAACAGGAAGAAGAAGAGAGGAAAAAGAGGGAAGAGGAAGAAAAACGTATGCAGGTAATGTTTATTTGTGTTTTCCAAAAAAATCTTTTCCACAACTTAACATTCTCCACCTGAAACTATTGTGTCTAATAGCATAATTTTATAAATGGGTCTCAAATTTATACAACAGTGTTATATTTGGCAGTGTTCAATTTAATTCAGCTGTCTAGAAATATACCTACATAATGCTTGTTTATTTTTAACTACAAATATCGTAAGTCTTTTCACTAATGCCTGTTTTGCAGCAATGCTCATTCTTACAGGTAAATTCTTGGCAACTACTGTAAACAAACAAAAACTATTCAGTTATAGATTTAATTTTTCAAGTGCTGAATCTCATAAGCTTATTGAAGTGTCAAGTTTTACTGTACTAATCTAATAATTAGAAATAGTCCATCTGTAATAAGTATTTTTCAGTATGCTACATTCCCATGTTACTTTATTGCTGTATTTTGGTTGTGTACCGAAGCTAGAATGTTCCAGATGCAATGTTATTTAATCGTACTTAAGCAATAGATTAATGTTCAGTAAGGTACTGTTCAGATCACATATACAGAAGTGTAAGCTGAATTCAGGCTAAAAACTGGATTAGGTACCAGTTTAAGAGTAAACAGTTTGGGGATGTTGGTAATAATGAGAGGATGTAGGACTGCCTTTAGTAACCTGTTACATGCTGCTGTGTAAAATCCATGCAGTTCAACCGTGCTCCGTTTGCCTTCATTCCCGGCACTTGCTCCCCGTACGTTCTCACTCTGAGGCACATTAGGATTCTCATCCCCTTGGTCTCTTCCTTATTTTGGAGGTTCCCTGTTTGACCTCGACAGAGAGGAAAAGCTTTTCTTCAGGGACAATTGTAACAACTGACAGGGCAGAAGTTTTGAAAACTTGGTCCACCAGTCCATATGCATGTTTTAAGGCTAGCCTTTATTTTTTTAAAAATATTTTTAGATCTTTATATTTTCTTTATATTTTATATTTTTATATTTTCTTTGTATTTTTATTTATATTTCTTTGTTTCTGCCATGTGTGTATTTGCAATTCAGGATGTAATTACACTTAGAAACACTGCATTCTGCTTTTAAAGCAGATAGGTAATTCTGGGGGGCATTTCTTTCTTATACATACAATTCATTACTCATTATCTCTCCATTTGGTGGTTGATGCTGTTAGCTAATCTAGGAATCACAGAGAGATTCTCTGATCTGATGTTACCTGCAAATTCACCATGACCAGCAGGGACTGGCTTTTGTTTCTTGAGTTTTGGGCCAGGGGAAAATATCACCAAGGAAGGCGTTGCTAAAAGTCAATGTGTTTGGAACTGGAAGTTTTCTATTAAATGCGCAGATTTTATTTATTGTGTGTACAAGACCTTTGTTAAATAATGACAGTAAGACAGGGTTATGGTGTTGCTCTGCAGAGGCAGCATATCTGGATTGTTTCCTCACTGCAGGAAGCTAGAATTTTGCCATTTCCTTAAATCTGGGGATAGATCATGTCTACAGCTACAGACCTGTATACAAAATAATGTTTACTACTAAGTCTTATAAATACCAAATGCCAAATCCAGAATACAAAAGAAATTCTGTTAGTGCTATTGAGGACTAACCATACAACTCATCTGAGTTTTATGAATTCTAAAAATTTCTCAAATCTAATTTTCCTAATTAGTAAAGTAGTTGAGGAAAAGCTTGATGTGTTTTATATAGGAGTGATTGACATTTTAATTGGAATAAGTAATGCAAATGATGAGCTCTAATGATGTGATAATCTGTATGAGAAGCAAGATGCAATCTGTAGCTCTTGTATTTTTCTTGAATCAATTTAGAAACTGCTCATGTTCCTTTTTTTTCTTTTTTAATTCTATAAATTTTTCATGCAGGCTATAAATGTATTTTTTACGCATCTTCCTAACCTCTTGCTTAAGTAACATTTTGCTTTTGCTTGGATAAGATTAGAGTTTTGATTTTATAAAACAGGCTGAAATTGAGGCTCAGCTTGCCAAAGAACGTGAAGAGGAAACGCAGCACCAGGCGGTTCTCGAACAGGAGCGTCGGGATCGTGAACTTGCGATGCGAATTGCCCAGAGTGAGGCGGAACTCATAAGTGATGAGGCACAGCTTGATTTAGGATTGCGCAGGTATGGAGCTTAATGCTTAAATTTCTGCTTTTTCTTTTCCATAGCTGTTTTCTCTGAGAATGCTATAGTTTGTTTTATGTGGTTATGTATTAACTGAAGAGCCCTTTCGAGTCAACAGATTCCATTTTTTTTCAAATTAACTTGTCAAATTCATTTAAAACTGCTCATTTTTACTGAGAAATGGTTTCTCCATTATGCTAATTGCTACCTCTGTAATTTAGATATATGCGAATATGACTCCAGTTTTGTGGGAAAGCATTATGTTGAATAAAACAAAACCTCATCCCATTTCTCTTTCTCTTCTTGAATCTGGGTGAGGATGGCAACTGATTTATGATTTTTATGACTTATTTAAAGGAGGGACTGGAATGTCTTTAATGGCTAGCAGGAATAAAATGTAGGATTTCTAGTACTTGGTGCTTCCAATTGTTTATTACCTATTTATTTTGTCTAATTTTTAATTAATTTTAAGATGCCTTCTTAAGACAGAAATACTTATTTCTGTATCCTTACTGGTAAGTTTCTATAGCACAGAAAGGATGTTTCACATGTTGGATTTGAAAATTAAGCCTTGTCTTAAATATTTCGTTGTCGTTTTGTTTGAACTTCCTGATGAGTGAGTGCTTGACTTCTTGTGCAGATTCATATTGCCTTCAAAGCAAGACCTCCTTATGTGTAAAGGGTGAATCCACAGAAGCTCTATGGCCAGCAGATATAAATATATGTATATATATGCATGTGTGTGTGTAATATATCTATATATATATATGTATGTGTGTATGTAAAATTGATGCATGTTTTAACTTGTGTGATTGTGTGCCTTTGTTTCTTCCCAGAGAGTATTTTTAGGATGTGTTCCTTATACAGTTCTCCTTAGGTGCTAACATAGAAAGATACTTATGTTTCTTGGCAGTTATAAGCTCACAAAAGGAACTTTCTTTTGTTTATATATGAGTGGTTCTGATTTCAGATTACTTATTTCAAGTATGATCAAGATTTATATCATGCTTATATATTTATATACTTATGTATTAAGCACGTGTGCATACAGGCACGTACACATGCTTGTAAATATCCATGCGATTTAGTGAAATTTTACTGTTCTGCCTTAACAGTTTCTAAAGGCTCTGTACATTATTTTGGATTCAATGGAAAGTGAATCTGGGATTTTGCCTTTCTTCATTATGGATCAGATTGTATTTAGAGGCTTACCAGCATAATTATGCCATTGGCTTGTTAGATGATGCAAAAAAACCTTAATGAATGAATATTTTCAGAGAACTCAACCTCCTAGATATTGTTTGCTGTTCAGAGTTTTATTTAGATGCATACTTTTTTCATAACTGAATCTGTGTGTGACATACCTAGGTAATTTTTCATCATGTACCATATTAATTTGTAAAAGCTGCTGCTAAACTTACCAGTGTTTTTGCTCTTAATTGTGACACAATAGATAGGTTATCTCTGATGTGACTCTTAAGATGTTCGTTTGTCCACGTTGATCACTTTATAGGCCATGTTCTTGAAGATTTTTCCTTATTTTCCTATTTGGATTGTGGTGCAATGCAGAATTTGAAAAATGAATTGAAATTAAGTGTAGTGTTGCAACCTGGCAAATCTCTCAAATACGAATGGAGAGTTTAAAGGAGAACTCAGATGATTCAATAACTTTCCTTGGTCAATAAAGCTCTAATCTCTGCAGGGCTTCCTACTCCTTAAGGACAACCCTGGTATTTGTCTTCCTCAGGAAGTCTAGGCATGGATGCCCATGCTGACCAGTCTGATGGATGTGACTGCCAGTCTCCTTCTGCTGTGCAGTGGTAGGGCACAGAAGGCTCGGTGTGATTAGAAAGGGCAGAGTGATCTAAACAAGTAAATACAGCAGAGTAAATTCTTTCTTGAGCAACTTGAGATATAAGCCTCAGAAAAATAGTAGAGAAATCTTTCTACTTAAATGAGAGTTCTTTTTAGATCGGTAACAAAAAAAATATATATACTTCAGTTAGAAAATTATTTCAGAAGAAAGACAGTCCCAAGTTTTCAGAGTTTTAAACATACCAGAAAAATAAAATCTGTTAATTCCAATTCGTTCTGATATATTTAAACCAAACTAAGACCTTCTTCAAACTCAGTATCTTCTATTGAAATTCAAGGGCAGAATTTCCACATAACTTCAGGAATGGGTTTGAAGTCGTGTGCTGAAATTCTTATCTGTAGTTAGGTATCTTAACTGGCTTCAACAAAACGTGCAAGTTAATCAAAACAATCCCTGGGACTTTTAACTATTATCAATCACCATTTTGCTGGAGTCTAATGAAGTTGTATTCTACCATCTTCTGAATTTGAGACCTCGATAGCATACCTTAAAATCCCTGAGACCTTAACGTTTGTTTTGCTCTTTGCATTAGCTCTGGTTAAGACACAGTGTGTATGGCTGCATGCGGGATTGTGCCACCAGTGCCACTGGTTCTGCAGGGCCCTCACGTTTGCAAATTAGTGTTTGCAAACACTTTGGCTTTGCTTAGGCTTTGGCAGCAACCAAGGGGTATTTTACTCTGTGCTGCACTGTCTACAGAGTGAAAAAGCAAGCGCTGCGATTTCTTAGCTAGTTAGACAGGTGCGACTGCGAATGAACTGCTGTGTTGTGTTCCCTTTTATAGAATCTATGGTGTTATGCAGTGGCGTATTTGAAGATAGGTAGCCTCTCTGTTATTTCTTTTTTTCCTCAATACTTTGCTTCATTTGAAATCAATACGTTGAATTCTGATGCCTTGCTTCGAAGTCTCGAAGGGAAGGGCTCTGGAAAGGACGCTCGCACCGCAGCACCTTGTCTAGAGGAGCACAACGTCGGCAAAAGCCGCTGAGCAGGAAAGCGCAGGCAGCGAGAGGCAGCCCCAGCGCCGAGCGCGCACGGGCAGCACCGAGCCCCGGCCCGGAGGTGGCTCTGACTCCGCCGGGGCAGCACCAGCAGAGCCCCTGGGGAGCGCAGCGACCAGAGCAGGAAAACGGAGCATAGCGTGACAGTTACCTTGTGCAGCAGTTTACAGGGAGTCTGCCCCCGGCTCAGGAAAAGAGTTCTCTCCACGGTCTCTTCCGTCAGTGGGAAATCAGGCAAAGCCATGGTCTCTACTCGGCAGAGAGCTGCAGCAGGAAGACTGTGGCAACACAGACTGAAACACCACAGAAACATGTGGCAGTCCAGGTCTCTGGCTGTGGGAAGTGTCTGAGCCTCTCCGTGTTACCAGGGAGTAGCAAAAACAACACCTGCCTTAGGTGTGAACAGGTGGATGACCTACTTAACCTGATGGTGGAGGTGAAGGAGAAGGCAAGAAAGGCTGAGGAGCATCAGGGAATGTGAGAAAGAAATAGACTTCTGGAGTCGGCCCAGGAAGTGCACCCACAGAACCCCCCAAAATCCATCTGAGGTTCCCCTACCCTCTTGCCATAGGGTGGAGGGGGCAGAATTAACAGTATTAAGAGATGAACAAGAATGGAAGCGGGTCCCTGTTCGAGGTGGCAGGAGAACCCTTTCCAGGCCCACCTCCCCTCCCCAGGTGAGAATGTTCAACAGGTATGAGGAACTTGAGGGCCAGAAAAATGAGGTCAAGGACCAGGGTCCATGTAGGGGCAAGGGACTTGCCCATGTCTAGGGCAAGTCAGGCAAGTCTGCACCTTAAGGCTGCCCCCACTAAGGAGAAAAAGAGCACCCAGAAGCAGCAGCAGCTTGTGATTGTTGTGGGAGACTCCCTGCTGCAGGGCACAGAGGCACTAATCTACAGACTCAACCCCTTGTCTGGAGAGCTCTGTTGCCTGCCAGGGACTTAAATAAGGGATGTTGCAGAGAGACTGCCAAGGCTTGTCCAGGCATCTGACTATTATTCCTTGTTACTGTTTTATGTGGGCCCTAATGACGCCATGGGGAGGCTGAGCAATGTCAAATGAGATTTCAGAGCCCTGGGAATGGCAGTCAAAGGTCTAGGAGCCCAGGTTGTGTTCTCCTCTATCCTGCCAATGAGGGCAATGGGTGTGAGGAGGAAAAGGCAGCTATCAAAGGTTAACAACTGGCTGCGTTGCTGGTCTTGGCAACAGGGTTTTGGTTTCTTTGACCATGGGACACTGTTTGAAGACCACCAGCTAGTGGGGAAAGATGAGAGCCACCTCAGCAAGAGGGACATGTGTGTCTTGGCCAACAGGTTGGCCAGCCTGATTAGGAAGGCTTTAAACTAAGCGAGAAGGAGGGAGTGTTACATGGACAGGGCAATCAGCGTGATGCAGCCAAAGTCAGAATGCGTCCAGCAGGAGCATGGAAGTGCTCATAACATAAGATATGATTATAGAAGGTCCTCCTTCACCCGTCCCAGGAAACCTGCAGGCTCGATTACTTCCCTGAAATGCCTGTACAGCAATGCGCACAGCGTGGGGAATAAACAGGAGGAACTGGAGATCTGTGTGCAGTCCCAGCATCATGATCTCATTGGAACTACAGAGACATGCTGGGGTAGCTCACACGACTGAAGTGCTGTCGGGGAATGCTATGTGTCCTTTAGGAAGGACAGGCTGGGAAGGCGAGGTGGTGGAGTTGCTCTTTATGTGAGAGAGCAACTGGAATGCATGGAGGTCAACCTGGGGGTGCGTGATGAGCTGGTCGTGAGCTTGTGGGTAAGGATTAGAGAGCAGGCTAATAGACACGGTGATAGGTGTTTGCTACAGGCTACCTGATCAAAGTGAGGAAGTTGATGAAGCCTTCTACAGAGACGCTGTGATAGCTGTTTGCTACAGGCTACCTGATCAAATGAGGAAGTTGATGAAGCCTTCTGCAGACAGCTAGAAGTAGCCTCATGGTCACAGGCCCTGGTTCTCCTGGGGGTCTTCAACCAGCCTGATATCAGTTGGAAAGACAACGCAGCCAGGCACAAGCAGTCCTGCAAGTTCCTGCAGAGCACTGATGGTAACTTTTTGACACAGGTTGTAGAGGAGCCAGTGAGGAGAGGTGGGCTGCTGGACATAGTATTAACAGACAGAGAGGGACTTGTTGGGGGATTTGAAGGTGGGGGGTAGCCTTGGCTGCTTTGATCATGGGTTGGTGGTGTTCAGGATCCAGCAAGGAGGAGGCAGGGCTGTAAGGAGCCTTGCGACCATGGACTTCAGGAGGGCCAACTTTGTCCTCTTCAGAGAGCTCCTTGGAGGGATCCCATGGGCTAGGGCTCTAAAAGGAAGGGAAGCCATTGTCTCTAAGCATGTAGAGGACAAGAAGGGGAGCCATTGTCTCTAAGCATGTGGGGGACAAGAAGATGCTCAGGAGTAGTCAGCATGGATTCACCAGGGGGAAGTCATGCTTGACTAACCTGATAGCCTTCTGTGATGGAATGACCGGCTGGATAGATGAGGGGAGAGCGGTGGATGTCGTCTATCTCGA